GCAGTGCCCTCCTGCAAATGATATTTTAGTGTTTTCCAACGCGGCAAAAATCGGAACCAGAGCGATCCTGTATTGATGGTGGCGGCCCCTGTCATCTAGGACATCTATATCCATCTATCTGTTTTTGTCTTTAGTACGATCGCGATAGTAGTAGCAACTATTATTATTATAAAAATAAGCTGGTCATCCATTTACAAAGATAGAAACACTATAAAAAGAATATGATTAACAATAACCCAGCTATGTGTCCCACGCAGCGTCGCACACGCACATGCGTGCCCCTAATGGCTGACAGAGGGTAGATATTTTAGAACCAAGTGGGACGCGAATAGGCTTTCATTACGTTTCTAAATATAGGTGTTATTTAATTATGACTGGCTAATTTGTGATGAGTAGGTAGGTGTTTACGAGTAAGTAATTGTAAACGAAAACTAAGTGCTATTAAACATTATGCTTATGAGCGCGGTGGATGTGGGTTTTAGTACAAAATAAACATATAATTTTTTTCTACAAGAATCTAGCTTAGTGCAAAAGCCGCTACAAATGTACATTAATGTAGTTGAAAATAAAGCTTTTATTTTTTATTACTTTCAATACACTATAGAAAAGGTTACACTACTTACATTGATTGCTGGTGATGAGTTCAACGAACTATACAAAGACAACATATTTTATGCAGTCTTTAAATAAACTTATTTTTTGTTGCTGCTAACCAAAGAAAACATTTATTTTTTTCAGAAGATGCAAAAGTTAAGTGGTCGTAAAGTAGGGCTTAAAACAAAAGGGCTAATTTAGTGGCAGGTGATAAAGCATTTACATGATATATACACTCGTCAGGCGTGGGCGCCGGGCGGGCGGCTTGGGCGGGCGGGCGTGAGGCAAGGGTTCGTGAGGGAATAAACTTTTCATGTTTAAGTGTGTGGTCAAATTTAACTTTAAGATAAACCTTTATGGCGCGGTTTTAGAGCACACACACCTGCACAAGACTTAAAATTCTTTAATATTTACATTAATATCTGACTAGCTTATTTTGAGCTTTTTGACAAAGGTGACTCAGTTTCTTCTCAGCACCAGCCCATATGTTATCCCGAAGTAGGGAAAGCTATAATTGGGACGTGTATAAGCGATCTACAAAGGGCCTAAGTACTGTATAAAATCTTTGACTATTTTTAGATGAAATCATGCATAAGTACAATATTTTCATTTATAAGACTAATAATAAGGGACAAGGAAGGACAAGGATGCATTAACAAGAAAAAAAAACACTTCGTTAATTAACTCGACGGAAAATCAAATTCGGGACGCACCGCGGTAAATGCGATTCACCCACCACTACTTTAGTGGGCCGTTGTAATTAGAAACAATGCGGTTGTCGTGTATTTAGTATTCAGAACAATCTAAGATATAATAAGAATCGTGCCGGTGCTACTAATTAGCAAAGATTACACAGAGGCGACTTCCAAAACAGCCGAGCCCTTAATCCGTTAAAACTGCTTTGATTAGTCCCTGGTTCGGTTCTTGGAAGGTACGTGACTCATTACAGGAGTAATCTTTTGTCGGACTTGTTTCGCATTGTTATTGAATGACATACTACCGACTGCTGAATTTCTGGAAAGATCCTTTTGGGAGATACAAAGACCTGTTTGTTAGCTTCTTCAAAGTTGTAGGAAGAGCACGTAAACTCTTTAATATAATTGTACGTAAGGCAAGTATCTATTTAAAAGGTTAGAAGAGGAGCCGAAGTTATTCGAGTTAATTAAAAAAGGCAACGTAGTACACATAAATAAAGTTGAGATTCAATGAAACTAAATAAATCTGTCTATTTCTGTAAAACAGTGTAATCCAACAAAGGTAGTTCAGTATTTTGGGCGTCTATTAGCCTCCCAGCCCAGGTGAGTTGGAATTGGCAAAATGCTTATTACGTCAATTAGCATCGGGCCGTCACTCGGCGCTAAGTTTGAGCCTTCGTTAAACCTATTACCCGCGGCGACTCTGCTTTAGATAGCTACTAATATTTCAACCCTGTAATGCCAGGACTCAACAATATTGAATTAACAACTATTTTCCTGTAAAATAAACATCTAACACCTACTTAAGTGTACTGAGGTCTTAGGTCTAGAGCCCTTTTCCCAGCCGCCGGAGTGGCCTCTCCGACCGCCATACATCTTCATTACACTATCTGCATCCTCGTTGAGTCTGGGGCGGTTAATCAGGCCTAATGAATTGGCTAATTACCCTTCATAGTTCGCACTCGCCCCCGCGGGGGTACTTGTGGGGTAATTATAACTCGCGCACTTCTCGCCTGACTTGACTTGTTTTGTTTTTGAAAAGAGTTGTAATTCAGCTTTTTATTTAAGTAACAAAATAGGCTAAGGATTATCGCCTTCTTACTTCCAGTTTTTAGGTGAAATAAAACTACGCGTCCCTCAATAATACCGTGTAAGACAATTTGAATGTACTGTGACAAGGGTCTCCCGTTTTCCACACTCATGGTGAGTAATGTGCCCGTGCCTCACCCCGGAGTCGCAGGTTGGCTGAGCCATGACAGATTACCGCACTACGGCGAAAAGATTCCAGAACTTCCACGCAATTTGAGAGGATTGGGAAAATTCTGCTGTAGGTTTTATTTTCCAAAAACCATGTAGGGTTAACGTCTTTGAATTTCACCATTGAGAGGTGGTTTTTAATTTTATATTGGATACTCAGGCGATTACTAAAATTCAAAGAGATCAAATCTTTAATCTATGTTTGAATTTGACTTGAGCTTGTAGCTTCATTTTATGCGGGCTTAAGACTTTCCAATTTGATGTAGTATTTGTCTTATATATAACTAGCTTTCCGCCCGCGGCTTCGCCCGCGTGGAATTTTGTCTGTCACAGAAAAACTTTATCGCGCGCGTCCCTGTTTCAAAAACCGGGATAAAAACTATCCTATGTTCTTTCCCGAGACTCAAACTATCTCTATGCCAAATTTCATCAAAATCGGTTGCGAGGTTTAAGCGGGAAAGCGTAACAGACAGACAGACAGACAGACAGACAGACAGACAGACAGACAGACAGACAGACAGACAGAGTTACTTTCGCATTTATAATATTATTAGTTGGGATTACTAGCTGACCCGGCGAACTTTGTTCCGCCTTAATGGCAATAAATAAGCAACTTTTTTTTTATTTCGAACGGGATAAAAAGTATCCTATGTCCTTCTCCTGGCTCTAAACTACCTCCCTGACAATTTTCAGCTAAATCAGTTCAGCCGTTCTTGAGTTATAAAGTGGTGTAACTAACACGACTTTTTCTTGAGTTATAAAGTGGTGTAACTAACACGACTTTTTCTTGAGTTATAAAGTGGTGTAACTAACACGACTTTTTCTTGAGTTATAAAGTGGTGTAACTAACACGACTTTTTTTTTAATAATATCCCTAAGTTTTGTGTTACTTTGTATAGAGTGATTTAAAATAAAATAAACATGTTAAATTGATCCCAAATGACACTGATCATTTAGAATTTTATTTATTAATTATTTAAAAAATACATATTCATAAATATTCAGTTTTATATCATTGAAAAAAATACTAATTCAAAACTGCCCCAGGCGTGTTCAAGGCTGCCCCGACTACGGGGCAGTTTTGAACATTTACAGGTCTGTGCAAAAATGTAAATATCTTAATAAGCGTTCATGAACAATTAAAAAGAACATCATTATTTTGTTGTGTGATAACCATGACCTCTATCTAGAAAGAAAAAATTAATGAAATCAGTCAAATTTAGAAGATATTTAATAAACTATGAAAATTGTTCAAAGCTGCCCCCCTCTCCCTATAGAAGATAAAGATAATGGTGGGTAAAACAGAAAAATCAATAGGTTAAAAATACGGTAACAAGTAGTCAGACTGAAGCCGCGACGGTATACACCTGTGTTATTATGAAGCGAACAACACTACCACTCAAGTCAGCCGTAACATTTTACGCATGTTCACCTAAAATAAGAGTACCCAAATAAGCCGCGGAAACAAAACATGTTGTCTTGTGTAATGGAGGCGACACGAGGTGCCTTGTTTATGAACACTCCGCCGAATAAAGAAGGTTGGGGATCCAAGACACTTCGATGAAAAAAAGAGTAACTTATACGGACTGCTATTTTTCTTTCGTGACTTATTTTTTGCTAAGTGAGCTCTGTGTCTGGCAATATTATTGCCTTCTTTACACATATTAGGTACAAGTATGCAATACATTCAGTATACATATGTATTTCAGTGATTCCGTAGTAAGTTTTTTCTGCATTTTCTATCCAGAATGGCTGACATCCAGTTAACAATCAATGATTTATGACTATTATGTTATCTAGTAAATACTATCTATCATCAAGTTTAAACAAAGACTATTTGATTCTCAGAAGGCTTAGGAGATCTCCGACTTGTTAGTTGAAGATACTTCACTTAGAGCAAAGGTCAGCTAAAGATCATGACCAAATAAGTTATTCAGGCCACCAAGTAACAGATAAATATCACAATATCGCTTTGCTCCGGCTTTTTTTATTTTATACGTAGTTTGCTTACACCGTGAAGCGATTGCGAGTACTTGGTCAATCTTTTAATTTGTTCATGACGCATCCTCGGGACTATTTCCACCTCTCATTCGTACCGCTGCAACTCCTGTGTAACCAGGATCTATAGCTTCACCGCCAATAAAAACCCAACCAGTGAAGGTCAAGTTTGTCCCAGGGGAAAGTTAAACTGTCATTGGAGCCGCAACGAAATTAATCAGAAGAACATAAGAGGAGTTTGAAATGATGACGCATCCTGTAAATCTGTGTGATACAATATAGCCACGATAGCCGAACGGTGAAGGGGTCGGACTGGCTGACTCGTGATCCAGGGAACACGGGTTCGGTTCCCGCCGTCGCTTGACTATTTTGGTGAGCTTGCTCGTGACACAGCTTAGTACCGTGGTACTAAGCTGGCTAAGGCTAACGGGGCTTTTTTAAATGTAGGGTACTCACACTTCAATGGCCTTGTTCCAGTTGATGACGTATCCACTCAGCGCGAAGGTCTCGATGTTGACGACGTGCACGTTCCCGCGCTCCGTGCCCACGTGCACCCACTTGGACTGCAGCGGCAGGTGCAGGCAGGTGATCCTGGGAAGAACGCAGAAAATTAGCTAAGGCACAAGCAGCAGGTAGAACGCAAGCTTTAGGAGCTGTCTTGTACAACCCAGTCAACTGCGCACCTAGCCTTGACGTCACATCGACGCTCTGGTACGGACGGGGCGAGAAAGTAGCATACCAGCCAGGTGCACAGTCAAATTGACCAGGTTGTAGGCCTAGGATACGCGCCACGATAAACCTTTCTTCTTTATCGACGCATTTTATCGATTTTACGTGATAAGCACATATATTTGTCGTCCAAAATCATCGATGAGTTTTATCACAGCGCGCATCTTAGCCCAGTAACAAAAGACAATCGCCGGCAGGAGAAATTACAGAAAACAGAGTAGTTACAAGGGGTACACTTATTTGCTACACGAACAGTTTAAAACATCCATAAGAGCAAGTTCGAAGCAGGCTGCTACCGTCGAACCTTACAATTATATTAATACCTTAAGTTCAGTTCTAGACAAAGTTGCTTAGGTACATCAATTATTTTTAAGTGACTTAACAATGTAGCGATCACAATCTAGAGATATTACATTGATCTATAAAACTGACTAACTATGCGATGTCGCTTTATACATCGACATGCAAACAAACTTCAAAGGGTTCCGCATTACAAATACACACCAATCCTAAAACAGATCATTCAGGTATAACATACGAGTGCACGATTAAACAATACATTTATATTTTTCCATATTTATACTTACCTCGATGCTTGCCTCATCGAAAATATGTCTCTACAATACATATTCAGTATACTCGTATTTTATGTAGAGCTCATAAGCCCATGGAGACTGAAAAGTAACTAATGCCAAACAAAAGACAGTAAAAGAAAACCACATTCATTTGTTGGTAGCTATACGGCTTTTTGGTTGAGTTTAATTAATTGTTTACTACGAGTAATACTTTAGTAACAGTTGATTTCATGTTTCTTGGAACATTTAATGTAAATTACACAACTAAGAGCTTACCCAAGCCAACTAAATATGGCAGGCGGTAACTGTCGCGAGATTACATCCCAGATGGAATGCAAATATTATTATGATGTTCGCAAACTAATTAGAATTTAAGCGCGCACCAGACACGTGTCTCCCCGGCACTAAGCAAATACTTTTATATTATTCATACGTTAGTGTGAATAATAGTTTAGTTTCGGGTTTCATTTGAGGAATGCATGTTAAAGATGTGTAAGGGAGTTTTAAGGGAGTTCTTTATAATTTTATTCAACTAATTTTTATATTCTCGTTCTCGCCTTCATTCTCATCCATCGTGTACTTCATCACCACCATCATAAGGCCATTTAGTCTCTACTGCAGGAGCACGACACTCTAGTTTACCAAAGAATAATAGAGGATTTTGCTACCCCACGCTGATCGTCTTGTTGATCTATATCCTCACTCCTACTGTCATTCTCGTTCTTAGGCGGTTATCACACTGCGCCGCGTTCCGCCGCGGAGCGCGTGATTTTCATATAAAAATTCACGCGCGCGGACGCGTGTGTGAAGTGCCGCGAATGTTTTAGATACAAACAGAGGTACTAGCATACAATGATTAAATCTGTCGCCCCGCGCTCCGCGGCGAAGCGCGGCGCAGTGTGATAACAGCCTTATACTCATTCTAACTTTCACTCTCGCTTTCATTCTCATCCATGTTCTCGCTCTCATTCTCATTCGGATTCTCGCTCTCATTCTCATTCTCACTCTCATTCTACTTCACCATCCTCGCTCTCGTTCTCATATTATCATTCTCATTCACTCACAGTTCTCTGGAGATAAACTTCAATAATAAACAAATAGAATTGAAACCTAGAAAATGTTAATTATTCTTTTATTAATCTAACAAAAGTAAATAATAAGGATTTAATAAACATTATTTTAATTTTTTATTAAAAAAATAATCACCCAAGTAGGGTAGGCAAATAAAGTATTTGGGTCGACTTTGATACCGGTGGCCTGCTCCCGGCGGCCGCCGGTATCAAAGTGACGGGGCGAGCGCTCGCCGCCGCCGCGCCGGCTTGCCGTACCCGCCGTACGCCGGAATGGGGGTATACAGGCCTTTACACGGACAGATTTTGGTGCATTACATATTTTTTGTTATTAATAAGATGTATTATTGCAAATTATCTAAAGTAAAACAAATTAAGTTGACATAATATGATGTGTAATAAAAGACGTTGCCACCCTTTAAAAAAAATAGCAGTGGCTTTTATGCTAAGGTAACTGACTTGATAAAATGTAATTAATTTGTAGCTGAAATTGTGTTAGCGTGTGGATTAAAAACCACCTCGGAAACTATAGCTACGGCTAGTCAGGACTTGGTAATGAGCACAATGCAATCGTGACAGAGCAATAATTTTAAACGATTTTTATAAAAGGACTTATTTTTAGCATCCGTTGTCCTTTGTCTTATTATTATAAGACAGATTTATATTCGAAGTCGTTCTGTGTAAATACCTGGCAACGGCGATCTGCGCGCGCAGCCCTTTGCCTTATAGTCGGTGCAACGACACGGATACGTTGTTTGGTTCATCGGTAACTAAGATATTATGCTATTGCAAGTATTGCGACTGTCATCGATGATGTTGATCAAAGACATTTATATGATTTTTGACTTAGATGGTCGATAAAATGAAGGTTTGTCAGACATGACTCTAGTTTTCTTTACTATCGTTAAGATTAATATAACTTAAAGTTTTAAACAAATATAAACCGATTAACGTGCTAAAGAAGAAGCTACGTCGAGATACACAACCAAATACATATGTATGTTATTCACCCTAAATATTTAAAAGATATGTCAGCCAAGTTGTTAGTAAGTTCACGCATCTTTAAACAATATTTTGAAAGCAGGATTCGGGTTTTACTCGTACTTGTTTTTGTATGTTGTACCAACTAAAAATCTTTTTGCTTGAAGAAACACGCCAATGAGCTTAGTAAAAAGTGTGAAAAGAATCTGGTAATATTTTCTTAGCGCGACATTTTACGAGCTTAACAAAAGCTTTTATCTGCGCCGGTGTCTATGGGTAATCAAATCTGACGAGTCGAATTTGACCTATTTCCCAGATTCGATTGACCTGATTTTACATTACGGCGACAACATTATAGTGAAGATAATTTTAATAATCGTAGTGACATTATATGTTTATTGTATTAAAGAGACGCTGTTAATGTAGCAACTACACTCGCGAGAAAAAGTATGGAATCAGCCTATATTTTCCGAGCGAATGAACGAACGAATGAGGGTTCCTTGTCAGGACTACGGAACCCTAAAAATGATATGAAGTTAAAGGTAGTATTATATACTTCAAATTGATACCATAGATACTTAAAATTGATACGATAGATACATAGTAATAGTAATTCAGTTCTTAAGATCGCTTGGAACCAATAACAACGGGGTGATTTCATACTCTTGCTCGTAAGTAGTATAGGTTTAGTTGACATACATTTTTGAAAGTTAAACGTTCACCAGTCAGCAGGCTGCATGTTTAGCGATCTACGGAAGCTTTTATCTTCCGATCGGATCTCCGAAATCGGCCGACAAGCAAATGCCATTAGCATGGCGGAGGCTGCGGAGAGCCCTCGGCCAAGAGCCCTAGCTCGAGCGCCACTTGTTGAAACATTCGCCGAGGGAATCTACTTGCAGTGGAATCTGACTGTATTTGGGTTAATATCTGGGTAGGTATGGACGATTAATTAATGATCAAGGTACAGTGCGCAGATATTGATGGAAAACAATCAATCTTTTAAGTATGATGATAGTATTGATTGCTTAAGTCTGTGGTGCTGTATCTGTTCAAGATTCAAAAGTAGTCAACATGTAATGGAACCAAAAACTACTTATTTGCATCCTGGGAGAGAGCTACAGCAATAGTAAGAAGTAGTAGGTATATTTTAAAATAATATTTAGATAAGCCTTTTTGGGCAAATATGACGAGTTCCACACAATGCGAAGTCCTTCAAAAAAGTACCTTAGCATTACATGTCTATGATATTTCGATTAGACAATAACCACTTAATTGATTCGCAAGTCCATCAATATTCGCTCGCGTGCGAAAGCTGCTCGCAGCAGAGGCACGGCACACGGTGATCAATAATGAGATATTAGGTGGATAATATTCAAATTTGACATTGTGAGGGTAGTTAAAACAAATCATCGCGATGTGATTGGGGGTACTTACCTCATATTCTTGTTGAATATGAACGGTTAAAGGTAAGTCATTACTGAGATACCAGCTAGTAAATGCAGTGCTCTCGCTAATTTGTACTGATTTGTTGTATTTACTTCCTGTTTTCGCGCACAGTTATCTGTTTGGTTTGACTTATACAGTGCATTATTGCGTATTATGAAATATGGTGCACATTAATGAAGGTATGTACTTCATTTTCTATAACACTTAGTAAATGTCAATTGTTATAGTAATTTAGAAAAAATATTCAAAACTTAGCTTAAAATTTTAGGTATTTTATTTTATTTTAGAGCCTGTATCTTACAAGGAACATATTAGAACATGGAAATTTTGGTACTGGCAGATAGCTGGAAGTCTGTATTATGGTATTCAATAAAAAATTTTACCCCAAACTACCCCTGCCTGAACAAACTTTTCATTTTTGCAGGAAACGAAAGTACAGTTAGAAATTCAGATTTATTTAAAAACCTCAAAAAACTTCCTCCAATTAAACCTGAAACTAAGCAATCTAAAGATATATTATTAAACTATGTCTATGAGGTCATTAGAGTATCAGATTTGATAACACAAGAGCGAAATGAGATACGAAATTCAAAAAATAGCTTTTGTTTGTCAGCTTCCAGAAATTGATTAAAATCGGCAAAGATATCTATCAATTTGAAAAAAAAAAGAGAATTAGTTGTGTAAACGCATAATAACATCTGGAGATCATTATTGAATAGCCTTCAACTTCAGGGTCTGTAGGTAGAGGACGCCCGAAAAAGGCTTTCATGGATTTAGGTGACAGAACTAA